CACGGGCTGGCAGGAAGACTGTGCTGCTGACTTCTCTTGGTGCCACTAACTAGCAGACTGCAGGCAGGCTCTGAGCATGGGTGTGTTCGCTGGCTTACAGCGCCCCCTAGCACTGGCCAGAGGGAAAAAAAGGCTCTATGAGCTCTCCAAGGAGTAACTTAACCTGCCTGGCTGAACAGGGGCAGAGAACTTGTGCTCCTCACAGGATTCATTCTATCCGTACTCTGAACTCTCTTACTAACACTCCTACCTTCTTCTCAAGTTGAGGATTGGAAACCGGTAAACAATCCTATGACAGACAGTTAAGTGTTGCCAAAGAAGGAAATGCAGGATGTTATTATGAGTATGCACAGATGGAAAGGAACCAGAAAAGCTTCCTGGAGCAGGTGACCTCTAAACGAAGATCTGCAGGGCATGTGAGAGTCCAATGAGGGTGAGAGGCAAACAGACTTCACATCCAAGAAGCCAACAGACAGATGAGTAAGTACTTACAATGGGCTCCACCAGAAACAACACCGTGTCTAATTCCTAGACCCAGTCTCCTCTGCCTTTGCCAGCATAATCTCCATGGAACTTCTCCACTTTTGTAAGAATGGGCACTCAGTGTTGATTGACATACTGATCGCTGTTTTTTAGTCTCAGGTACCTTGGCTTTCAGTCAAATCTGCATAAATAGCAGGATCTCTCTCTCCTTCAGAACCACTTACCTGGTCCTTGAGAATTTCCCACAGATTCCTCGGCTTTTTGAGGCAAACAGCCTTTTGGAAAACATCATGTTCTATTTGGTAAACATAGATACTGAGGCCCACACTGGAGCAGTGACTTGTCCATGGGGCCAGAACATAACAATTCTGCAGCAATATTTGCAACAAGGGCTCATATTTGATCGTTACTTATTTTATTTTTTACTATGGCCTCCTTTTTGTTCCCAGAAAGAATTGCCATGCATCTCTTCCCAGAGTACGCAAGGAATGTTTTCAAAAGGTATTAGATAGTAATTTAGAAAGAGGAAAATAAATAAGCACACAGGAGGAGGCAGGCCTCCTCAGAACACAGCCATGTATCTGCACTGTACTGATTAGTGAGATGGCTCTGGGGTCATTCGAGTCTATGATCCTGATAGAGAACTGTTCAATCAGCGTAGGAGTACTAAGGGACTCTGAGACATGTTTGTCTAAGATCTGAAGAGTGAACCCACAATCTGGGGAGGGTTGGGATTTTCAAGGCCAGAGTGTATGCAGTGGGTCACAGGTGAGGGCTTCAAGGGCAGACCTCATGAATGTGAGGGATGGAGCCAGATAAGAAACCAATGGCTGCAACATAATCTTGGCTCTGCCATGGGCTGATGGTGACACTTCAGTGACATTCATCTCAACCTTGTTCTTCTTACCTTTAAGGGCCAGGGGTGGTGGCTCATGCCTGTAATCCTAGATACCCAGGAAACATAAATAGGATGATTGTGGTCCAAGACCACATGAGATCCTAAAATAGCTAACGCACCAAAGGGCTGAAGGCATCTCTCAAGTGATACAACACCTGCCTGACAAGCATGAAGTCTTGAGTTCAAATCCCAATTCTGTCCCCCACCCCAGATTCCTACAGATTCTAACGTCAATTATTTGATACATAAGGGGTGGACATGGTCTCACCTTTCCTAGAAACTTTCCAGCCAAGGGAAGACCAGAGGTCAGTCTGGAAGTTATATGTGGACACAGCAGGTGAAGAATGCATTTTCTTCAGCTTGTCCCAGATATATAAATCGCTCCTTGTTCTTACCTACCCAAACAACTCAGGAGAAATGACAACTGCACTCTTACCTGAGTTCCAAGTCTTTCCATTTAGCTCATTGAGCAATTCTTGCACATTATTAGACCCACAGACTCCCGACCATCTCGACTGATAACTGCAAGGCCTTCATGCTGTAGAAGCCCACACGAGGCTTTATGGAGACCCTCACTTCTTGTCCTCATGGTAGGGCTGAATTGACCTCATAGAGATCAGGGAGTCAACTTAGCTCAGGTGTAAAGCAGACCTCCCCAAGAGAATGATGGAATTCTCTGAGCTCCACAAATGCAGTGTAGGAGAGGAATAAACCAAATGTTAATTTCATTATCTAGAGAAAACATTTTTATGGACTGGAATCCAACCTCTCAGATAGTTTCAGCAGAAGTCATCTGCTTGGTACTCATATTCCAGGCTAGGCTTTCCCTGGGAGGAAAAACATGGGATTTTGGACAAAACTGTAACGCAAAAGAAAGAGAAGAGAGGGCCTCCATCCGTGTAAGATGCTTATCCAATGTGGATTTGGTCTGGAAAGGCTTATAAAACCTTCCACATGACCAGTACTGTGCAAGTTTTAGAGACTCTCTCAAATCCCACTAAGTATGTCCTTATGCGACCTGGTTCTCCAGTGTACCCACCGCTCAGGGCTCAAATGGCTGACCGCCATCCCACACACAGCCTCCTATTTTACTCTCATTTAAGCAGTATGCCTATATATCTCAGGCCTCAAAACATTTCTAGTATGGCTGGAGAAAAAAGCATAACCAGATCCCATCAGATGGTGGAGGTAGAGCTGGAAAAATATTGGGAGAGGGGAAAAAAAATGCTCTGTGGGGTAGCTATAGTTAAGAAAAGGTCTCATGAGTTGGATGAGGGGAAAGATATAAAGATGTGGAAACTGAGATCCCTTCCTTAAAGCTAATATGTTTAAGGGAGAAAAGGAACTTGCTTGGAAGAACTTGCTTGGAAGCCTTCAGGACAATCAAAAAAGTTCAAGGCCAGTATGGGCTATACAGCAAGTTCAAGGCCAGCATGGGCTATATAAGGAGACATCATCATCATCATCAACAACAGGAAAACACACCAAAAACAACAGTAATAACAAAGCATTGTTGGAAATACCAACTCCCACGGCATTTTCCATTCCTGCCATATGAATGTCTCTGACTGGGAAATGGAGGGATTTCTGAGAAGAGACATAGGCCTTTTTTTTCCCTAATCCTTGTTTGTTCCAAATGTTCAATGCTTCTATAGTCAACACATTCATGTCTCCTTTCAAACAGATGGGGGACAGAGAAAGGGAAAGATGAAAGTGTAGGAAAGAGAAGATTTCAACTCAAAAGGACATTTGTACAGTTAGATTTCACTGAGTAAAATCCAGGGAGATCAAGGTCTGTCTTGAGAACAGTCAGCAGAGGGGGTGAACAGAGCTCCCCACTTTCTTCTTCTGGAAAGCACACATGATGCTGGTGCTTGCTTTCCTTATGTAGCATGATTGTGAGAGATTCATGTGAGGTATGGAACCTCACTTGAACAAATCTATGGCAGAAGCAGGATGTAATATAATAATCCATATGGTAATGATATTATTATTCACAATTATCTGTTACAGCTAATTCATTTAGGCTCTTGGATAGTTCCCAGGATCTAGCTGAACTCCATTCTTGGATTAGTTCACCTCAAACTCCTTCCTGAAGGATGGAGACCTGCCAGCCACTGGGTAGGGCTACCATATCTTCTTTCCTGACCTTTTTTCCCTTCCTTCCTTCCTTCCTTCCTGTACTGGGGCTTGAACTCAGGGCCTGGGTGCTCTTCCTTAAGTTTTTTTCACTCAAGGCTAGCACTCTACCACTTGAACCACAGCTCTACTTCTGGCTTTTTGGTGGTTAACTGGAGATAAGAGTCTCATGGACTTCCTGCCAGAGCTGGCTTCAAACTTTGATCCATAGATCTCAGTCTCAAGAGTAGCCAGGATCACAGACCTGAGACACTGCCCTCCTCCCACACCCCCTCTCCACTACTTTTTGTTCTTCAAGTAAGCCCAGGGCCTTTGTCCTTGCTGGGAGCCCTGCAGACTGCTGACAGGGCTGATCCTACCTGCCCTCCTCTCAGTCAAGATTTCCTTCTTGTACTACCTCCAGGGAAAACAACGCTCTCCCAGCCATTTCTAATCTCTGCCTCTGTTCTGGTTTGTCCATCACATCTAGCCTTGTGGAAAACTGCCCCTGGCCCATGTGACTTTCCAGGGTGACAGGAGTTCTGTCTTGCTCACAGTGTTTGTTGAATGAATTCACAACGCCTTTGGCTCCAGGGTGAGCTCAGGCAAACACCAATCTCTCCTTAGCCAATTCCAAAACACAGATGGCTTCCTCTCACGGGGGGGGGGGGGGGGGGGGGGGGTGGGGGGGGTAGGGTGGGGGGGGGTGGGGGGGGAGGAGAAGGAGATTAACAAGGAGCAAAAGAAAGATGTCCTCTATCTGGTCTTTTCCCCTCTGTCCCTGCTCTTGCCAGGAAAAGTAGAGGTAGCCTTTTCTCTTAGCCCCTCACCCGGCTGGGGCAAAGGACGCCTCCAGGCCAGGGGCCACTCTGCACAGCAGAAAGGGGTTCGTGGTGGGGTGCAAGGTGGGCGCTAGCTGATTCTGATGGGGCAGGATGGGGCTTGGGGAGAGGGTTTAGGCCAGAGAGGTGCCCCTTGGCGGGGGTGGGGGGAGAGGGGGTGTCTCCTCCGAGGTTTGGCGGCGGCTGGGGGCCTCCCGGGGCGCGCCCAGCCCACCCACTCGCGTGCCCAAGGCTGCTTTATTCCCTATAAGGAGTTGAACGGTCCGGGGGCCGGCCCCGCCCCCGGCCCCGCCCCCGGCCCACGCCCCCTTTTGGAGTCCGATGAGGTAATGCGGCTCTGCCATTGGCCGGAGGGGCGGGCCCCGGAGCGCCCGCGGGGGGCGGTGCCCGGGAGCCCCGAGCTATATAAAGCTCGCTGGGGCGAGGGGCGGGCAGCTGGCCGGCTGCGAGCGCCCGGGCTGCCGCTCCCGTTCCCGCTGCTCTCCCCTCGCCGCCCGCTGCAGTCGTGTGCCTGCGCCCCAGCAGCCTCGCCGCCGCACCCCAGCCCGTCCCGCTGGGAACCGGGAGGGCAGCACACCCAGGCCAAAGTCCCCCACCCCACTCCCGCACGGTCCTCCCCCCTCCCTCCCCGCCCCGGCGACCGCCGGCAGCAGCGGCCCCGCCGGCGCGCGGCTCCCGGGCGGACAACTTCGGAGGAGGCGATCGGCGCCGGGTCCCTGCAGCGCGGAGCGGGCAGCGCTGGCCACGGCGGCGGCAATGACTCCCTGGCTCGGGCTCGTCGTGCTCCTGGCTGGCTGGAGCCTGGGGCACTGGGGTGCCGAGGCGTGCACGTGCTCGCCCAGCCACCCCCAGGACGCCTTCTGCAACTCCGACATCGGTGAGCGCTCCTGGGGGACCCCCGCCTCCCCCCCCCGGGGCACAGCGAGTCCCCCCCCCCCGGGCAGCAAGCCCCCCCCCCCCCCGGGACAGCGAGTCCCACCCCGGGCAGCGAGTCCCCCCCCGGGGCACCGAGTTCCCCCCCCCCCCTCCCCGGCACCTAGCCCCGGCTGCAGACCGTTTCCTGGGGACGCACGGAGGGGGGGGGGGGGACATGAGGTCCCACCGCTTCCATGGACATCTGGAAGGTGTCCTCCCCGTTCGCTCTGGAAGGGGTGGGGGGGTCCCCCAAGTTGGGATGTTCACTGACGGGTTGGGATCTTTTAAGTACTTAAAAAGTTGCCAGCCCCGTGCCAGGCAGAGAGACGCAGTTGGTGGAGAAACGTGTTCCGTTTTCTGAGTGGGCATCGCGTATTCCCGGGGAGTTCTATCCTCTGGGGCTTGGGACCCAGCCCCCTCGGCAGCACCCCGAACCCAGCTTCTTGGGACGGCTAAAAGTTTGGGTGGATGGAAGCAGCGGAGGAGGAGGAGAAAGCTGTGGATCTGACTTTCCCCGGGGAGGAGCGGTATCTGTGGGCTGCGTGTGTGTGTGCGTGTGTGTGCGTGTGTGTGTGATCATTTATTGCATAGCTGTGAAAATTCACAGGAAGAAGAAGGTGTGAGGATGGGGGGGGGGGGGGAGAGAAGGATGTACAGAGGTAGAAAATAATTTGTTACCCAAAGTACAAAAATGTGAAGGGTGGCATCATGGTGACGGCTGCAAAGTGGACTTTTATTGCTTGAGTGGAGACCAAGAAAGAAGTAAAACTAAAGCTAGTTTTAAAGGAGAGCTCTCTTTCTCTCTCTCTCTCTCTCTCTCTTTAATATGGTGTGTCGTGTCCTGGGAGGGAGAACTTGTTTGGGAGTATTAGGTTGTATTAGCTTGTGTTTGGCTCAGGATTCCTGGTGCGTGCATGTATGTGTGTATACACGCTTGTTCGTGCGTGCACACACACATGCACGCACACGTGCACTCACACACAGTATGTGGGACAGAGTCTAGCCACCCTCTGCCTGTGTCAATTCAGAGGTGAAGAATGGAGCATGTGTGTGTTTTAACTATGGTCATAAAGGGAAGGAAATTTTCCACTGGGTCTTGGGTGAGGGATTCAGCAAGTGCCTTGTGGTGAGGAGAGGGAAGGTGGTGGCAGGCTGGCAGGGGGAGTAGCTGAGGTTGGGGAGGGGCATTGCTGATGGGCTAGGAGAGATCTAAGGGATGGCTGTAGTGACCAGGTCAGGCCAAGTTGGCAGCTGAGGGTGTTTGTGTGACCTGGGGTCACCCTTTTTAGAGGTTTCCTGAGACACTCCCCCCTCCACACTCCCCCCTCCAGACACACCCTTCCCTGTCCCCCAAGGAGCTTGGTTCCTGGCTTTGTGGATTGCCTAGAAGGATCCTTTGGTTGCCTCAGGCCTGGGAAGGCCCTCTTCCCTCTTCAGTGGAGGCCTCCACCCAAAATCCATTTGGCCTTTTCCTCCTCAGTCCAGTTGGTAACATTCTAGCTGGGTCTGGGCTGCAGAGTTCTGATTTTGTTCAGCCAGGCTCACACCAGTGGGTCAGAAGCTAGCAGGTGGAAAATGGAGTGTGGGCATCACAGCCCAAGTCCTTCTCTGCCTGGGGGTGGGAGTCTGGGTGCTCTGGGAGCTTTTGTGGTTCTTGTAGGGTAGAGAGGGGGCCTCCTCCCTGCCCTGTGCCCTTTGCTTAGAGGTTCCACCTTGGAAGTCCACCAATAAAGCCTGGAACTTGGAGCCAGCGGACTGGGCTTCCAGTGGGGACTTCTGGACTCAGCGGAATGCTTACCCTTTTCTGCATAGGGTCCTGCTGGGGATCTGGAATGCTCCAGACAATTTTCTGGCATTTCTATGATACACCCCCCCCCCCAAAAAAAAAAAACTAGGCTTTCCCAGAGGAAAGCCTAGTTATCAAGAAGTATTCAAACCCCAGAACATTGTATTGGGGGGGGGAGGGGGGAACAAGGGAAGGGGAGACAATAACCCAGAAACAAAAAAAAGAAAGAAATCTTCCATGCTCTGGCATGGATCCGAATTTGCTGGGCCTGGGTTTGGTGCATGCACTAGTGGCAGGGATGAGATAATGCTTTTAAAAATGGGAGGTGTGGGTGTGGGCCTCCGGCTTGTTGACCTCCCTCAGCCTCCACCCACTGCAGCCCGGCCTGCCTCACAGCAGCCGACTGCTGCCAGCAGGTGGCTCCAAAACTGTCCCCGCTTAGAGTCTAGTTTCCAGTCTGGCTTAAAGTTCTGCCTGTCATTTCCTTTAAATAAGAAAGAAAGAAAGAAAAGAAAAGAAAAGAAAAAAGAAACAAAATGCCTACTACGATCTTACCATTCAACACTGGAACCCACTTCTAGATGCACAACACAGCCCACCCCTTCCACTTTCCTATTCCAGAACCTTCCTGGTTGTTTTCTCTTCCTGGCTGGGTGCTGTGTGGCCTAGAAGGGCACAGAATGCCTGGCTTGGCTCTCTCTACTCCCTCCTCTTCCCCCTTCCCCAGCCTAACCTCTCCTGTCTCCTTTATCCACAGGTGTCTTTTTTTCCCCTTTCTTCCCCAAAGCCCAGGGGACCAGTGCAGCCTTCGGGGTGAGGAGGAGTTAATAGGTGTTTCTATGGCAACTCTGGGCCTTGCACCCTATCGAAGTGTTTAGGAGAAGAATAAACTACATGCTGGCTTAGAAAAAGCGCTGTGGAGTAAAAGAAAGGAGCTCAGCAGCAGCCAGGACATCTGTGGCCCCCTCCCCACCACGCAGGGCCTCACAAAACTTTGACTCCGGAGGGGCAGAAGGAGGCCACTGGAATGAAGGAGGTAGCCTTCGCCAGGCAGATCCTGCTCTGGCAGCTCTATCTAGCCCAGGAAGTAATGGGCAGTGCCAAGGGCTTTCTGAAAGTTGGTGTGTGTGTGTGTGTGTGTGTGTCTGCCTGCAGTGAGTGTGGGGTTTATGGAGAAGTTTGCTTTGAGGGAGCAATGGGGCTGTGGGATGGAGAGGCAGGGCTGCCCCTGAGTGAAGTGGGGCTTTGCTTGGAAGACAAGTGGCTGCCTGGATATCTGGTGTGTGTGTGTGTGTGTGTGTGTGTGTGTGTGTGTGTGTGTGTGTGTGTGTGTGTGTGTGTGTGTGTGTGTGTAAAACGTGCTCATTCTGGGGCTTAAATTCAGGGTCTGGTGTGTGTGTGTGTGTGTGTGTGTGTGTGTGTGTGTGTGTGTGTGTGTGTGTGTGTGTGTGTGTGTGTGTGTGTGTGTGTAAAACGTGCTCATTCTGGGGCTTAAATTCAGGGCCTGGGTGCTATCTCTTAGTATTTTTGCTTAAAGCTGGCACTTCATAACTTGAACCACATCTCCACTTCTGGCTTTTTTGCTGGCTAATTGGAGGTAAGAGTCTCATGGACTTTCCTGCCTCAACTGCCTTTGAGCCTCAATCCTCAGATCTCAGGCTCCTGAGTGACTGGGATTACAGGGGTGAGCCACCAGTGCCTGGCTCCGAATTGTTTTGACAGGGGCCACTGCCAGCAGATTCCTTCTAGTATCAGATCTGAGATGGTAGTTGTTGCCAAGAAGCTATTTTCAAAGAGACCAAATCCATTCCTACTCACACAGTCCTGTCTCAACACGGGGCTTTGCCACTGAAGGGAAATGCAGGATTACATGTGAAGGAAGAGCCAGCCTCCCTGGTGGGGGAGGGGGACCCAAGCTCTACTTTTGGACTGGAGGAGGAAAAAAAAAGGATATCTCTTAGGCCTCTTCTGGGTACAAGTATTTCACCTTCTATCTACCTAGCAATCTTTAAGAGTAGGTATAGCCCCATTTTTCAGATGGAAATACTGAGGTTGAAAGAGATGATGCTTATCCAAGACCAACACATCCTGGGACTCTAAAACTGTCTCCTTCTAGAGTAGCTACCCAGCCTGTGTAATACAGGGTTGGGGAGGAAAGCCAGGGGGTAGATGGGGTCCTCCCTGGAGAAGTTGCCCCTCTGACAGTTCTGTGTCCCTGGACAGATAAGGCTAGAAAGTGGCAGGAAAGGGGCTCTGGTGGAGAGATTTTTGTTCGTTTTGCTGGAACAGCAGGAGCCATTCAGCACCACTGCTGAATGGCACATTCCAACAGGTTCATTAATGAAAAACAAAAAACAACAACACAATTCTCCACTGCCTTTAGCTTTTACCATTCCAGCCAGTATGGACAACGAGGCCCCTTCTTCCAGCCTTTGTTATAGTCAACTCCTGGGTGGCCTGGGGAGGCAGTGTGAGGTGGTGGAAAGGCCCTGGGGAGGGCAGAGTGGGTTCAGATCCTTTCTCTGCTGCTTGTTGGCTCATGTGCTTAGGCATATTAGTGGATGTCATTAAGCTTTAGCTTATCCCCTTGATAAAATGGCACGAATAATTTGTACCGCTGTGGATCTCTTCTCCACACTCTTAAAATGCAAGTATGATATGAGTATATTGTATGTACATGATGTACGTGTATCTATCCATCTACCCATCCACTCACCCGTCTACCCACCTATCCATCCATCCATCCATCCAATCAGCTATCCATATGCTTCTCTCTCAGTACCTACCTTTCTCTCTCCTCTGTTTCTTCCTCTTTCTTTCCCTCCCTCCTTTGCCTTCTTTGCGTTCCACACCCACACTCTCCCTACCTCTACTGAAAATCAGAGAAGTAATTCTAGTCCCATTTCTCCATCTTTTCCTCTAAATCTGATTTCCACACATAGATAACCTTAGAAAATGCATAGTGCCTTTTCCCCTTAGAAATTTGAGCAGCAGAATACTACAAATAATGCTACGAGGTACAAATACTACACATAGCAGGATGCCATTTTTCATTCAACAACTTGCAGCAGAGGTGTTTCTCAGTTAACATATGCATATGTCTACTTTATTTTTTTTTAATGTACAGAATTTTGTAGAGTTATTCAAAACTCATAAAAGAGTATAGCGCGGTTGCA